AAGAAGTAGATATTTTTTCTAAGAAACGTAAACGGGATTTATCAATAACTACCATTACTTGTAGTAACAGAATTAGACTCTAAAGGCTATTTATTTAACCATGTTTAAAAAATTTGGTTTATATTGTTTAGCTTATTTGCCAGCGGAAATACATACATTATAATTATTACTTATAGTATTGTTATATAATAAAAACATTTTTATTTATTATTTTATTTTTAAAAGATTGTTTGCAATAAAATCTATATTTAAATTTATATAAATTATTTGCATTTTACTATTTTAAAACTCATTGGACCATAATTAGTCATGGTTCACTAAGCCAAATGTTTTTGTTCACTGGCTCTCGCCTATATATAAAACGTTTTATGTTAAAAGTATTATTATTCTTCTATCTTCTGCTCGGTTGTCACTATGTTTACAAAATTAAGTTTATATTGTTTACCTTATTTGCCAGTGGAAATATGGTGCCACATATTTCGCGTAAACGTAAACGGGATTTATCAATAACTACTATTACTTGTAGTAAAAGAATTAGACTTTAAAGGCTATTTATTTCACCATGTTTAAAAAATTTGGTTTATATTGTTTAGCTTATTTGCCAGAGGAAATACATACATGATAATTTTTACTTATAGTATTGTTATATAATAAAAACATTTTTATTTATTATTTTATTTTTAAAAGATTGTTTGCAATAAAATCGATAGTTAAATTTATATAAATTATTTGCATTTTAATATTTTAAAACTCATTGGACCATAATTAGTCGTAGTTCACTAAGCCAAATGTTTTTGTTCACTGGCTCTCGCCTATATATGAAACGTTTTATGTTAAAAGTATTATTATTCTTCTATCTTTTGTTCGGTTGTCACTATGTTTACAAAATTAAGTTTATATTGTTTACCTTATTTGCAAGTGAAAATATGGTGCCACATATTTCGCATTTTAAATGAAAATTCTTTGATCTTTGCATCAAAAACCTATTCTTATTGGTCTTATATTTGTAAGAAATATTGTACCTAGCCAACAAGAAATATCCTGTAATATACATGAAGTAGAGATTTTTTCTAAGAAACGTAAACGGGATTTATCAATAACTACTATTACTTGTAGTAAAAGAATGAGACTCTAAAGGCTATTTATTTCACCATGTTTAAAAAAAATTGTTTATATTGTTTACCTTATTTGCCAGAGAAAATACATACATGATAATTATTACTTATAGTATTGTTTTATAATAAAAACTTTTTTATTTATTATTTTATTTTTAAACGATTGTTTGCAATAAAATCGATAGTTAAATTTATATAAATTATTTGCATTTTAATATTTTAAAACTCATTGGACCATAATTAGTCATGGTTCACTAAGCCAAATGTTTTTGTTCACTGGCTCTCGCCTATATATAAAACGTTTTATGTTAAAAGTATTATTCTTCTGCTATCTTCTGCTCGGTTGTCACTATGTTTACAAAATTAAGTTTATATTGTTTACCTTATTTGCCAGTGGAAATATGGTGCCACATATTTCGCTTAAACGTAAACGGGATTTATCAATAACTACTATTACTTGTAGTAACAGAATTAGACTCTAAAGGCTATTTATTTAACCATGTTTAAAAAATTTGGTTTATATTGTTTAGCTTATTTGCCAGCTAAAATACATACATTATAATTATTACTTATAGTATTGTTATATAATAAAAACATTTTTATTTATTATTTTATTTTTAAAAGATTGTTTGCAATAAAATCTATATTTAAATTTATATAAATTATTTCCATTTTACTATTTTAAAACTCATTGAACCATAATTAGTCATGGTTCACTAAGCCAAATGTTTTTGTTCACTGGCTCTCGCCTATATATAAAACTTTTTATGTTAAAAGTATTATTATTTTTTTATCTTCTGTTGGGTTGTCACTATGTTTACAAAATTAAGTTTATATTGTTTACCTTATTAGCCAGTGGAAATATGGAAATATGGTGCAACATATTTCGCCTCTTAGATTAAAATTCTTTGATCTTTGCATCAAAATCCTATTCTTATTGGTCTTATATTTGTCAAGGTGACTTGGTACTTAATAAAAAATTGTAAAATGAAAGTAAAAGAAAAAAACAAATTGCTCCAAAATTAATACTTGAGCCAAAGCCAAAGCCAAAGGGATTCTGGAAAACCTTTTCTTTGTAATATTTATACTTAAAAAAATACTGTACCTAGCCAACAAGAAATATCCTGTAATATACAAGAAGAAGAGATTTTTTCTAAGAAACGTAAACGGGATTTATCAATGACTACTATTACTTGTAGTAAAAGAACGAGACTCTAAAATCCTATTTATTTCACCATGTTTAAAAAATTTAGTTTATATTGTTAACCTTATTTGCCAGCGAAAAAACATACTTGATAATTATTACTTAATAAGTAATACTTATAGTATTATTATATAATAAAAACATTTTTATTTATTATTTTATTTTTAAAAGATTGTTTGCAATAAAATCTATAGTTAAATTTATATAAATTACCTAGCCAACAAGAAATATCCTGTAATACAGGGATGGTAATGTGCTCTTAGGCCGTTTAATAAAAAAAGACAAATGCATTATGAGACGTGGGAGTGGTGGAGTGACGTAATAGTGGTGGGGCAGGCCAGACCGCGCCGCGCCAGGGCTGGATGCTCCCATGTACGAGTTTTGGTTCATGCCGCGTATGACGTCACTTGATAAGTAGTTTCCGTGCGAATACACGAATAATAGTAATATTATCAAAGGAAATAGAGAAATATCTGGACATAGTGCGTTTTTATTAAACTTAATATTGAAGAAAGTGTTATAATATGGATAATAGGTAGATGCTTTTAGTCCTTGATAACATTTAGGGCTGTAGTTTAACCCTTGATGTTTTAAATTAAACTTATAGCCACTGTCCAGAAAATGTTTATAGGAAACAGAAGCGGTCTTAACGTTAATATTGCCTATTCTTTTTGTGGCATTTAACCACTGTTTCCACAAAACAAAGTTTTTCGGGAATCGATTAAATTTAATGTTTTTATTTAAAGAGTTTTTCTTGGACTGGTTGTCTGAATTGCATCCAAATATGCCACACCGCATTTTAATAAATGCAAATGGTACGACACAAGCTAAAACATAAACAAAACAAGTTAACGCAACACAAAAACAATAATAAACAAACAGAACAGGTTAACACCACGCAATAACAATAATTTGAACATTGAAAAGTGACATATTTAAGCCCCGCCCAACATGCGCACCATCCTATCTTAAGGTGTATGTATCTTGGTGGGATTGTAAAGCAGTTAGAGGAGGGGAAGTAAAACATTGGCGGACGTTTAATTGTTTTGATTTAATCGTTTTAAAATCTTGTACTGCACGCTTATGACAGAGGGGAAATAAGTATTTTGTTATCCTATTCGTTCAACAATGGTTGTTTGTCTCTCTTATTTATACGTTTATCTCACTTATTCGTACGTTTCATATAGCATGCATCTTTATTTATTAAACGGCCTAAGAGCCCATTACCATCCCTGTATACAAGAAGTAGAGATTTTTTCTAAGAAACGTAAACGGGATTTATCAATAACTACTATTACTTGTAGTAAAATAATGAGACTCTAAAGGCTATTTATTTTACCATGTTTAAAAAATTAGTTTATATTGTTTACCTTATTTGCCAGCGAAAATGTTTTTGTTCACTGGCTCTCGCCTATATATAAAACGTTTTATGTTAAAAGTATTATTATTCTTCTATCTTCTGCCCGGTTGTCACTATGTTTACCTTATTTGCCAGTGGAAATATGGTGCCACATATTTCGCCTCCCAGGTAGCACACTGTCTGCTGACGTTTAATTGACGTCATTTTTAGGTGATTTTTGGTCGGTGACGTCACATCACCAATGTAGGACGTTATGACGACGCCACATTTTATGACGTCAGACGACGTCTATTGTCAGACGTCGCCTGTACGTAATGTAAGGTCCTAGATCTCTTTAAAGAGTAATTATAATTATACTATATACCACAATCCACATTGTGCTATATACGTCCAATCGAACTCTGATGACCTTATAGGAAGTTAATATAAAATCATTGATTAATTATTACTTCTTCACTTAACGATATAATTTTAAAATTTTTATGCAAAATGATTTTCGAATTAAGTTAATTTTAACATTTAATGAAATTTGGATATATTGGAAACAATAATTTTCGGCTTTTCTACATTGAAGTTGATTATTTAAAGTTTAACCTATAGTAAGGTTTTCGTAGATATTTTAAAATTATTCTGGCTTTAAATTTGAATTTGAATTTTAGCGAACCTTGACTTTTCTTGACCAATCGAATGGCTCTGCTGTTCTGGGTATTGTTCCCGCGCACAGAGTAGTGTTCCCGCGCCACGCGATTCCGCCGATCAGAGATATCCGTTTCACGAACTTCCTTACTTGTCATGGTACAAGAAAACCTTAAAACGTTTATCTGTTTCGTGTTATTTGTTATATGCACAGAACAAAGTTATATGATAGAAGAGAAAGCATTTAAAACGTATATGTGTATCGTGTTATTTGTTTTATATATACAATATACGATTACTCTGATATTAAATAGTAAGCTGTGGTTTGAAAGTGACGCGCTCTGCATGTGGACACGCTGTTTGTACCTAATTTATTTTTTTGTTAAAGTTAACGATAAGAAAAGAAAGTGATTTTTTAGGAAAGCGGAAAATTATTCTCGAAAAGGTAAGTTGCCTAAGCGGTTTAAATCGTTTTATAACCTTTGTATCCTAACCTATAAAATCCCACTTTTTTGTCGTTTTATAAAGTGCGATTTAAACTTAAAATGTTTTAGTACAACGTAACCACAGATCATAAAACTTGTTTTTTGGGGTAACGTTGATTTCGTAAGACATACCTAACCAACAAAATCTCATTTGTTGCATCATGCAAGTTGCATGATTTTTTTAGTTTTCCGTTTTGGTTTTGTTTTAATTAAATTAAAGCCAAAGCATCAAACTATAATAATTTAATTATTTATTGGTGAAAAATTGAACAAAAACGGTTTAATTACATTTTAGGTAAAGATGTCTTTTCTTCTCGTAGAGTTTTTGGGTAATAAAGAGGGAAAATTGGCGGTAGTACATGACAATTGGATGACCCCTTTTAAAACACAAGTTTTTTGGCCGCCATATAAACAGAAATCCCAGTTTAATAAAGCCCTACTTAAAGGTGAAGAGGCCAAGGACACGTGGGAACTATTTAAAATAAAAAGATGTTTTTACACTTCGGGTAAGAATTAATAAGCCTCATTTACCCTTAAGTGGTGGTGTGGTTGTGGTATACTGTAACTGGGTCACCAAATGTTTTTAACATGCAAACATTTTTATGTTTAGTTTTTTCAATAAAAACATAAAATTGGCAATCTACACTCCATTAAAAATTTAAATCAAAATAGTTTAACAATTATTTGTATAAAAAAATTACCTACTTGAGGTTTGCAACTTGTAGTTTCATTGGGCCAAAAACAGCACCATTTCATCAGTTGAGGGTTAAATATTATTATTTATTAGTTATTATTGACATGAAATTTATACTTCAGATGATTTGGACAAAATAAATAAGAAATTAAAAGAATCTGAATACACTTCTGATTTGCAAACCGATATTAATAATCCAACACAGCATAATAAAAGAAAGCGGGTATCTAATAAAAGATACATATCTTCAGATTAAGATGAAGGTAATGAAGGGTTGCTCCCTCGTCCCCCAAAAATAGGTGAGTTCAAAAGAAGAACTTTAGAAGAGGGCATTAAATTAGGTTGTACCTCAATTGGAGACATTGAAATTGAAAATAATCCTGCAACACCGAAATCTTCACGGATTCAAATCCTGGAAGAATCAGGTATTTTGTTCAAGTTTTGTAACCCTTTTTGCCTAAAGATGACTTTTTTTTAGCTTTTAATAAAAGGATCATAACTTTGTTAGAAACAATTTCAGAGCAAAATAAAAGAATTTTGTCAAATATTGAGCGAAAACAGCAGCCTGCCAATATTGGGCCTTCTTTACCTGAGCTGCCAGTGCAATTGCCAGTAAAAAACCTAGTTGATTTGCAGCTTCTGGACAATTATTTAAAAGGAAATGCCGACCAGTCTTCTGCTTTAGTAGGTAATGAACCTATTGGATAAACTGAAACTTGTAAAAATTGTTTTTTGTAGAGCTCCTATTTGGCAATATTGGGGGGTAAAGATATAACAAATAAAATTACTCGAGTCTTAAAATATCTGGTAGTGGATAAGGTGGCAAAATTTTTTAACTTTTATGGAAAGAGGTCCAAAAAGGAGGCTTTTTGCGACCTGGCGTTAAGGAACATTATAATTCGTAAGTTGGCTTACCTATTTTGTTAATGTAAACGGTTTATGATATACAAATTTTTAACAGGTGCTATCAAATCTACTGAGCCGCAAGCAGACGACAGCGCGATAGAGGGGGCCATAAAAGTCTGGTTAAAACACGCCCCTGGCCGATTGGAAATCAACAAAGATCCTGCCCCTGCGGATGAAAACTGAAAATGTCTCGTCTGGAAAAAATTAAATATAAACACAAAATGTTCGTCGGGAAGCGACAGTTATATCGGAGAATCGCTAACAACGTAAAATCCGTTTTGGAAACAATAGAGGATGGTGAGAAACCAATTTCAGATAGTAATTTTAATGTAGATTTATCACAAAATATTCGTATAAATGAAACCGTTTCATTGATTGATGATAATTTAATACCCGATTTAGTTATACATAGCGATGTAGATGCGTTAGTTGAAACTTCTAGCGTTTTAAGCAACTTGAACAATAACCATGAAATGTTAGAGTTAGATACAAATAACTTTTCATACCTTGAAGTTGTAGTAGATGATAGGCACGATCAAATTCGGTCAAGTACGTTAAACTTCACTGCGAACTTGAGACACTGGGCACTTAAGCATAAAATATCGCACTTAGCCCTAACTGACCTACTGCATAATCTAAGTTTCATACATAAAGAACTTCCTTTAGATGCAAGAACTTTGCTAAAAACACCCAGACAGAATCGTGTTACTAGTATGTCTTTAGGAAATTATTATTATTTTGGTTTAGCAGATTGCATAATGAAAACTTTGACAGGCGCATCATACGAAGACCTGAGTAAATTGAAAAACACAAAATTACAAATAAGCTTTAATGTTGATGGATTACCATTGTTCAACAGTTCCACTTTACAGCTATGGCCTATTCTTGGTCTAGTAAAAATTTTTAAATCTATTCCTTTTGTGGTAGCATTTTTTTGTGGAAGGTCAAAACCACCCATAGAAGAATTTTTTCAAGATTTAATTAAGGAAATGGAGCATTTGTTCCGTGAAGGAGTGCAAATACAGGACATAGTATATCAAATAGAAATTCACAGTTTTATCTGTGATGCTCCAGCAAAGGCTTTTGTGAAGTGCATCAAATCACATGGTGGTTATTCTAGCTGTGATAAGTGTGTTGAGTCCGGTGACTATTTCAAAGGTAGAGTTATTTTAAGAAGCACATCCTGTAATAAAAGAACTGATCAGTCATTTTTACGTCAGCAAGACGAAGATCATCATACCGGGACGTCTCCATTAACCCAATTAAAAATAGGTATGATGAGTTGTTTTCCGATTGACGCTTGCTGTCTGGGTGTTTGCCGCAAATTACTAAACCAGTGGATTGGTGGCAATTTAGAAACGCGATTGCCAGCTCGTGTCGGAAAGAATTTTGCTATGTAAACCTCATATACCCCAAGAATTCAATCGAAAACCACGTACTCTAGATGAATTACAGAGATGAAAAGCATCAGAATTTAGAACGTTTCTCTTGTATCTTGGTCCCGTAGCTTTAAAAAACCTGGTCTGTAAGGCCATTTTTGAAAATTTTTTGCTTTTTCACTACGCAATTCCTATTTGTATTTCAAAAACTCATCTTTTAAATTTAGGGTAAAATATACCAGATACATTGCTTCGAACCTTTATTAATCACTGTGATGCTCTTTATGGCAGACAATTTTTAATTTACAACGTTCATGTATTATGTCACCTAGTCTGTGATGTAAAGAAATATGGACCACTTAATGAGTTTTCGGCTTTCCCGTTTGAGAACTTTTTAGGTTTTCTAAAAAGCTTAGTTAAATCTCCAGCAAAACCGCTGGAGCAACTAGTTAGAAGAATTAAAGAGGGACAAAAACCTTACTATAAAACGATGAGAGCTTATCAAAATATTAGATATTTGATAGAGCACAATTCTGGTCCCATGCATTTCAGTTGTAATAAACTTAAAAAAATTCAACAATTTAAAAAACTGGAATTCAAAGATTTTACCCTCTGTGTTAGATCTCATAGCAAAGCGGACTCCTATGTTATTCTCAACAACAATGTTGTTGCTGAAGTACACAATATTATTTTAGATGAAAAACAAAAAACATTATTCCTAGGAAAACATTTTCAGTCATATGACTCATTTTATAATTACCCATTCCCTTCTGAAAATTTAAAAATTCGCACTGTACAGTTTTTATCGGATGAACTGCAAGTTTGGTCTCTAAGTGAGATCGAGTGCAAGGCTATAGTACTTCCATTTAACGATCATTGGGTTTCATTTCCATTAATTCACAGCCTATGATAATGTGACATAATGAAATTAAAACCCAATGTTTGAACATGAAATAGAATGGTAATGGAAACATATATGCTATACATATATTAAGTACTTGGTATACTATAGCAGCTATAGTATAGCTTTGCATTCAATGATAGTTAGCATATAGCACATATTATTTTAAAAGACATTTGTCTATGAATATTTTTTTAATTATTATCTGAAATTGGTTTCTAGAAACTAGCTATTAATCGCATTAAATTAATGATATTTATTATCAAAGAAAAACGAACATTTTTTATTTATACACACATTTAAAATTAATTTAACTGTTTAAATATTTTGATAACCCTAAGGTTAAGTTTTATTTTTATTTATTTGACTGCAAAAATTGTGATAAAGTTAGGGTTGAGTTTTGTTTTTTTTAATTTTATGGATATAGTAATAATAACTTAAGGGTTAAGTTTTATTTTTTTATTTGAATGTATACATTATAATGCAATGACCAAAGAATAAAATATTTTTATTTCCTATTTTGCAAACATTGTGATAAAGTTAGGGTTGAGTTTTGTTTTTTTTTATTTTATGGATATAGTAATAATAATAACTTAAGGGTTAAGTTTTATTTTTTTATTTGAATGTATACATTATAATGCAATGACCAAAGAATAAAATATTTTTATTTCCTATTTTGTTTGTTATTTCTATTGATTGATTTTAATAAATTGTTTTTTACACTTGGTGTTTTTAATATTTTCTGGTCTGTCTTCATTGGTATGATATGGTGTAACATCATTGGTATTTTACGGTCTAAAGATACGCACACAACGAGATTGCCTGCTTACTGGCAATCGTCGCCTATAAGCGTCGCCGGAACTATAAAGTATACAGAGTTATCGACGCTTATAAGCCCGGATTGCCAGTAAGCAGGCAATCTGCTTTCTTTGTGTGGTTATTTTAACGTCATTGGACGTAATTTTAACGTTATTGAACGTTACGGCCTGACGTCATTGGTACGTCATGGTCTGACGTAACTGGTACGTCGCGCTCTGACGTCATTGGGCTGTGACATTTTACCGTCGACACGACGTCAGTAGGACCTCGGTTGGGACGTCCCATGACGTCACGGCCGACCAAAAAATGACGTATTTAAGGCGTCATTGTGCTACCTGGGCTTTAAGATGAAAATTCTTTGATCTTTGCATCAAAATCCAACAAGAAATATCCTGTAATATACAAGAAGTAGAGATTTTTTCTAAGAAACGTAAACAGGATTTATCAATAACTACTATTACTTGTAGTAAAAAAATTAGACTCCAAAGGCCATTTATTAAAACCATGTTTAAAAAATTTGGTTTATATTGTTTAGCTTATTTGCCAGCGAAAATACATACATGATAATTATTACTTATAGTATTGATAACAATACTGAAAATAAAAACATTTTTATTTATTATTTTATTTTTAAAAGATTGTTTGCAATAAAATTTATAGTTAAATTTATATAAATTATTTTAATTTTAATTTAATTTAAAACCGCCCTCGGTGGTGTAGTAGTTAGCACTGCGGACTACAAGCCGAGAGGTCGTGGGTTCGAATCCCACCAGGGGTATGGTTGTTTATTTGTGTTTGTCATTGTGTATTTATGTAATTGGGCCTGGTGCCTGTTGAAAGCACATTAAAAATAATAAAATAAAAAAATAAAATAAAAATATTTTAGAATAGAATAGAATAGAATAGATTTATTGATGCTTGAAATTATACAATTTTTGCACAGGTCATAAAACTCATTGGACCATAATTAGTCATGGTTCACTAAGCCAAATGTTTTTGTTCACTAGCTCTCGCCTATATATAAAACGTTTTATGTTAAAAGTATTATTATTCTTTTATCTTCTGTTCGGTTGTCACTATGTTTACAAAATTAAGTTTATATTGTTTACCTTATTTGCCAGTGGAAATATGGTGCCACATATTTCGCCTTTTAGATGAAAATTCTTTGATCTTTGCATCAAAATCCTATTCTTATTGGTCTTATATTTGTCAAGGTGACTTGGTACTTAATAAAAAATTGAAAAATAAAAGTAAAAGAAATAAGCAAATTGCTACAAAATTAATACTTGAGCCAAAGCGGCACAAGACTATTGAAAGGGATTCTGGAAAACCTTTACTTTTTAATATTAATACTCAAAAAAATACTGTACCTAGCCAACAAGAAATATTCTGTAATATACAAGAAGTAGAGATTTTTTCTAAGAAACGTAAACGGGATTTATCAATAACTACTATTACTTGTAGTAAAAGAATAAGACTCTAAAGGCTATTTATTTTACCATGTTTAAAAAATTAGTTTATATTGTTTACCTTATTTGCCAGCGAAAATACATCTACTTGATAATTATTACTTATTATGTAATAAAAACATTTTTATTTATTATTTTTAAATGTTGTTAAATTTAACTTTTATAGCATTTAATAATAATTCATTTTTATTTTTAAAAGATTGTTTGCAATAAAATCTATTGTTACATTTATTTAAATTATCTTCATTTTAATATTTTAAATTCATTGGACCATAATTTGTTCACTGGCTCTCGCCTATATATAAAAAGTTTTATGTTAAAAGTATTATTATTCTTCTATCCTCTGCTCGGTTGTCACTATGTTTACAAAATTAAGTTTGTATTGTTTACCTTATTTGCCAGTGGAAATATGGTGCCACATATTTCGCCTTTTAGATGAAAATTCTTTGATCTTTGCATTAAAATCCCATTCTTATTGGTCTTATATTTCTCAAGGTGACTTGGAACTTAATAAAAAATTGAAAAATGAAAGTAAAAGAAATAAGCAAATTGCTACAAAATTAATACCTGAGCCAAAGCGGCACAAGACTATTGAAAGGGATTCTGGAAAACTTTTACTTTTTAATTTTAATACTAAAAAAAAATACTGTACCTAGCCAACAAGAAATATCCTGTAATATACAAGAAGTAGAGATTTTTTCTAAGAAACGTAAACAGGATTTATCAATAACTACTATTACTTGTAGTAAAAGAATGAGACTCTAAAGGCTATTTATTTTACCATGTTTAAAAAATTAGTTTATATTGTTTACCTTATTTGCCAGCGAAAATACATTGTGTCGTACCTAGGCTCGTAATGGCCTTAAATACGCACTATAGGGTCTCTCTAGTTCTTCGACAGAGAGAATACCTACCTCGAGTAACTTTACAGTGGAGAAATAGGGTTTGAGAATCAGTTCAGGTTTTGCCAAATGCCAAAATAACTTAAACTTGTTTATTCTATCATAGAAATATATACAATATATACAAAATCATAAGTAAAGGATATATACATAAAATAAAGGTCTATCGTAGACAGGTATTATACAATGCTATGTGTGCAAACAGGTCAATATTTCGTTCTTGATACCCCAAAAGGCAACAGGCAGGTACAGGCTCCGTTTTCCTCCACAGACAGGCAGGTTCACTTGCAACTGGGGCTATAAAGAAGAAATATTAAATGCAAAATATATAAGTGAGGTTATGTTCACTTGGATGTTAAATGTAGATAAAATAATAATTACAGGACGGGTGGCAGGATAGTAAATAGGTTAAATACGGCATACAAGCTCAGCATAAAAGCCCAGCATACAAGCCCCAGGTCAACCTACTGTTTTATATCACTAGAAACTAGTCCTTGTGCATTCGAGTATCGGTATTGGTTCTTCCATCCAGTATTAGACCAGTCGGAATTTAAGCCACCAATAGACTGATTTTAATAATGTCCAAATCCGCCTTTTATAGCTAAAACTTGCACAAAGAAATCATCTAAAAACAACATCACGTCGTTCTGCTCCATTGGGTTGTCAAAATTAGTTGTTTTAGTACATGGTACGGCATCTGTTGGCTGGTGGATGTACTACCTCTTGCAGGTAACAGAAAACTGTGGTGAATTACTACTGGTTTATTACATCCCCCTCTTACAAAACTATTGTTTTTAGATCACTAAAAACAACGGTCGTACACAGGATTTAAAAGAAATACCTGAAAAATAAAAACTTATTCAAAAATACAAAATCAAAAACGTTTTCTAAAATTTCGGGCTTGGCTCCTGGTTACTGGTCCTCGACCAGGACGCAGGCCTCGCTAATGGGGATCCTCACCCACACCCTCTTCCGGTTTTTCAACCAGACCCGCCGGCGGATTATGGCGGTTGGATGGTCTGTTGGCAGCAGGCGAATCTCCCTCAGGGATAGCTGGGCGCTCTGAGGTTCGAGGTGGGGCTCGGAACGCTTCCGAGGAGCTGGCATCGTGGGGGGGTGGCATGGTCGTCGGCGGTCTTCTTGGTGGTAGCCGGACGATCGGCTCCGGAGTGGGGGGTCGTCTGATCTCCGTGGCCGTCGGGAGTCTGGCGATGCCCTGAGCTGGGCCGGTTCCTCCCAAGGGAAGATTGAGCCAGGTCAAGCTCTCGATCCCGAAGACCTCCGGAATGGAGATTGTCACCCCGAAGTCCGGCGTCTTGGGGAAGACGGGCATCTGGGCAATAAGGGGGGACAGACCCGTTCTACTGGATTGCGTTGAGGGGTGTATGGGGGTGTAAACCGGTGTTGTATTCCCATGTCGGATAACAACTTTTCAAAAATCGGATTGTCGAATTGCACACCATTGTCGGAGATGATAATACGGGGGCATCCAAAACGACAAATCACCAGGTCCTGGAGGGTTTCAGTCACAGTCTGGGCGGTAGCTCGACGTAGGGGCTTGAACTCCACCCATTTTGTAAACTTATCTTGTATTACTAGCAAGAATATATTTCCTTTGGAGGAACGGGGTAGTGGACCCACTAGGTCAATGCTTATGACATCCCAAGGGCGGTCCACGGGAAATGGTCGCAATTTTCCTGGGGTTGTTGTTGGGATGTCTTGTATCGCTGGCAATTTCCACATTGCCGGACATATTTTGCGACTTCTCTAAACATGCCTGGCCAATAATACTTTCGGGCAATTCTACGAATGGTCTTGGCTATGCCCAAATGTCCGGCGTGTGGCTCGTCATGGTTTTCCCGAAGAATGGCAGGTCGTTGCGGTTTTGCGACGCAAATTTTCCATGGATCGGTCGACTCGATTTTTTTATAATCAGAAAAATCGTAAAAGTATCTAAACAACTTGCCCTCGTATATTTTAAATTCTGGGAAGCTCCTGGGATTTCTCTGAACTTCTTGAAATTTGTTTTGATACCATGTTAATGTTATTTAGGACGTGGATCGGTGTTTCGGTAGCGGGATTGT